CCCCGCCGGCCCCGCCGCCTCCCTCCCCGTCCCCCCCTCTGCCTCGACCTTCCCAAGCGCCTGGGTGCCGCCGGGGCCGCAGGCACGGGGAAGTCTGAGAACACCAGGGGTCTCGGGACTCCGTGGGGCGCGTGGCCACCACGCAAGGCCGGGCCGTGCGCGCCCTAGCCGAGTGCAGGTCCCGGTCCGGGGCAGTGACGGCAGAATAGGAGCTCGCGGCGGCTCCCGTCCGCCGGCGCTCAGGGCTGCAGCCCGCACCGTTGTGCCCGGCCCCACAGACCGCATGGACGCGCTGCTGCGGACCTTCCTGCCCCGCTACCGCGCCCAGCTGGCGGCTGCCGTCCTGAGGCGACTCTCCGAGGAGCGGGGCCCGCGGGAGCCGGCGGGGGCGCAGCTGCTCCGCAGCGAGGTGAGCGCCGCGGGGAGGGCCGGCGAGAGGCGGGGCCGCACGCGGGGCGGGGCCTCGCTGGTGGGCGTGGCGAGGGCGTGGCTCTAGGCGTGAGGTCTCTTGTGGGTTTCCCGAGGGGCGGGGTATATGGGCGTGGCTTCTAGGTGAGGGTTGGCGGGGCCCAGGTACTTCCCGGCGGGGTGTGCCCGGGGCGGGGCTTAGAGACTGGGGCGGGGCCTTTGCGCGGGGCGGGGCGTCGGCGCGTGCCGCGGGGCGGGAGCTTCCAGCCGGCGCCGCACGGTGGCGACCCCGGCTCACCCCGCTCTCCCTGAGCAGAAGCTGCCCCGGGTCCGCGAGCACCGAGGGGCCCTGGCGTGGCTGCAGGGCCGCCCGCCGCGGTGGCAGCCCGTGTTCTGCGTCCTGCGCGGGGACGGCCGCCTGGAGTGGTTCGGCCACCAGGAGGTGAGAGGACGCGTGGGGGGGCGCTCGGGCTGAGGCCCCGCCCAGGTGGGCGGGGTTCGGGCTTTGTCCCAGTGGCGGGATGGGTAAACTGAGACCCGGGCCCGGGATGGCGGTCAGACTTCTGCCCCCAGCTAGGAGCTGGCAGAGATTCCTTGCGGCCCCGGACTTAGGTTCCACACCTGTGACCTGGGGGTGTGGAGGTCAGGAAATTCTCAGGGCGGAAGTGCAGAGGAGGGGCCGACTCGGGGAGGCGCCCCGCCCGGCCCCGCGGTCCCCAGCTGGTCGTCTGGTTGTCCTTCCCAGGAATTCGAGAACGGGGTTCGCCCACTGGGCTCCGTCGCCCTGACGGGGTTCGCGTTGGGGACCTCACAGCGGGACGTCCAGCTCGGCCCGCAGCTTGCAGGTCAGCTCAGCGCGGAGCACGGGGCGCCCGCCGCGCCCCCGGGCCGGAGCGGGGTGGGGGGACCCCAGAGGCCCCGGCCTGCCTCCTGTCCCGGAGGGAAGCGCACAGGGGCAAAGCCTGAGCCGGCAGGCAGGTGCAGGCTGGACGCCGGCCGGGCGCTGGCCGGGGCGCTGGCCTCCTTCCGCCCCGTGTCTTCGGCGTCCCAC